CTTTCTATTGGTTATAGGTAATATGTAATGAAATGTAAGAGAGAACTATCAATGAATTGTGAAAAGAGATGATGTAACAGGTGGGTGTGGTAAGAGAGGTCTGATTTTATATTTGATAGCTCTGTAACTAAACAAAATTGAAGGCTATAAAAATTATGGTTTGTTAGAGCAATTGTGATTTTATAGAGTATTTTATGTTTAATTTTGTACTTTTTTGAGGGGTGGTGGATAAAATAGGATGATGACATGCTAAGACAAAATGTGTCACATGGGTCACACTAGTGGAAATTCAGGATTTTTTTATATATTCCCTTGTAGAATTAAGAACTTAAAACTTGTATACTATTAAAATATCAGTTAAGATTTTATGCTACTCTGATTGGTATAACATAAACAAAAAGTAGTTTAATAAAATGTTGAATGCAAGACACTAAAACCTTGTGTCATGCACAGTTCATACATTTAACTTTATCTCCATATGCTTACCCCTTCTTGGATCAAACGAATGTACTAAAAAGACTGATTTAACTATCAGTAGGGTAAAAAACATGACTTTGATTACCCTTCATTCTGTTTTGCAGCACAATCTGCTAGTGAAGCCTAGATGGCTTTATTCATGAACATGTTTCAATTCTAAAAATAAAAAACATTACAATAAATTATTGAAGGTGTATGGTTCTCACACTAGCACAGTGATTAACACTGACCTGTTCCTTGAGAGTCTACTTCAATCTTTACAATACGACCATCGGCAGAACTCAATAGCAGAACACTTTTACTTGGTTCTTCTTTCAAAATACACATACCTAACAAAATAAGTACCCAAACATTGAAAATATGTACTAAATCATGCAAATACAAAGTACAATTTCACATAGAAAAGATCAACTAAAATTCTAAAATTATATTAAAATAACGTTTTTTTAAATTAACATAAGTTGTACCCGAGATAATTATACAAGATAGTGATGAATTATTTCACCAGTTGCAAACTCGCTGATATATAAACAAGTACTGAGTTTATTCTTTCAGTGTTGTTTCCACAACACATTTCAAATTTCATGTTCCTTGCTGTCACATTTTGTTGATATAATACTTAAAATGTGTCCTAGGCCCCAAGGTATTTTTCCCTGGTCTCATTGAACTAAAAAATTCCAAGAAAGGTAAAATTCCTTTTCCTTATTAGGTTTTACTATCTTACACCAATTACTTAAACACCTATATAAGTACACATAAAATTTTCTTTCAGATAGACAACTGTTGCTAAGAAGTAAAAATGTATGAATTTTCCAGACTTGCTATCCTACCTATACTTCGTTGAATATTAAAACGTACATCTTTATTGAAAAAAATAAGTTCCCTATCTTAAGACAGTACAGCACAAGGACCACACATTATGTATTCAGTTACGAATCAGATTAAGTCATTATATTATTCTACTGATTACAACTTCTTTTAAACAGCATACTGTACCTGTGGCTGTGAGCTGATGAAGCCCAGCTGTATATCCAGTTGATTCAATGGTCATCGAGGTGTCACTAACAATTATCTTACTACCAATAAGATGACAACCCTTGCTGACAACTGTTAGGAAGCACCCAGCTCCTACCTGTCACACCAAATGAAAGTGTGTAAAATGAACAGAATAATGAGTCACTTCTAAATAAGAAATGTTTTAATTATGTTAGGCCTAATAAATATATTTTACTTTTATTAACATGTATTAATTGGAGATTTTAAATGGAGCTATGATAATAAAAAGGCTGGGTCATTATTAATTTTCTGACTATATAATTTTACGAAACAATAAATGCAATAATATTGTGATGCCACCTGAATATTGATCTGAGGATATTTTGAGAATCTAAAATGGGTTGGAAATGAGCGAGGAATGAGCAGATTTCCAGTATTTCTGTTTAGTTAAATTCTGGAAATAATTTCTCAGAAGCAATATTCTTATATCCAAATGTTATCCTGAATGGTACATAACCCACAGAACAATAACTTTATTGCCTTAAGTAATGTTGTAAAAACTGCAAGCAAAAAGCACAAATCACTAGACACAGCATGGACATGGACAAGAGGGAGGGCTTGTCTGACACACTACAAAGTTGTTTTATATTCAGCATGCAAAATCTCTCATCTTGAATCACCTTCTGTTAGTTGGCATTAGAAAACCAAAGAAATCTCAGAAATCTTCCTGGTAAAGTTCATGAATAGTTATGGCAAAAAATATTTGTGATGTCACTTGAGGATGGTCATGTATGTAAGAAGATTACTTGTACAATGCAGCTAACTGAGAGGACTACAAAGCACTTATCAAACTTAGTACTGGTAATTTGTCAAGATATTCAAAAGCTGTATTTCAGTCTACTAATTAAGCATCCTTAATTCAAATAAACTATCTCAAATTGATAGGCAAAAACTCTGTGGAATTAGTTACAAATCAAAGCTAAATAAGTAAGAAACTAGGAAATAGCTTACATTTGAAATTACTTCATAATACTTCCTGAAATCTCTTCTGTTTTGCAGTTGGTAAATGTTTTCTTCTTACATATATTAAATTACACTGTAAATATTTGAGTCACCTCAACAAAACATGTTGAAAAATATATTTCTTTGACTTGTTTATCAGAAGTGTTTATTATTTGATCACATAAAGCTATTGAAAGTTTACACTAAGTATTGCATACAAATTATGGAATGACATTCCATTAAACATACCCTCGCCTTCTCCCAAAAAACCTCTCTTAGAATGACATAAAATCCTGGTGTGAAGATATAATTTTCCAGAAAAATTAAATGAAATTAAAATTTTGATGTTATTTTTTTTTTTTGCACAGTCACCACATTTAGTGTACTCTTTCAATCACAATTTCATCACTTGTTTTGTCTCACCAAGGTTATTTCTTTAAAACCTAAAAATTTAACACTGTGAATGAAAATTAAGAACTTTTTGATTACCAAAATAAAATCATTATTTGAAATGTTGAAGGTACATTTCGTATAACTTATAATGCACTGAATTTCTTATTTCATCAAAAGAATATTTATACTGTATCAAAAAAGAATGCAGTATGTAAAATTACAATAAAAAATGTTCTCAATGATCACAAAAAAAAGTTTTTCTCTCAGTGAAAAATAAAAATAGACACAGTAAGTTGTTTGAAATAACTGTGACTCAAAACATAACTGTACATGACAATGATTTCTGAATAATAAAGTCAGATTTATGATATAAGAAATGAAAAAAAAGGAACAAAGGCAAAGATGCAGAATGATCAAAATTTTGCATTACTAATAAAGTCTCCTACTTTTCAATAATTATCATTCAAAAATTTCCTAACACTTGAAGAAAGAAAGAGCTTTATTGTGCATAACATGCATTGTAATTGTGCTATATGAATCAAATTTAAATGTTTGGTGCTGAAAATACCCATTACAATAATGGTTGTTAGATTTTAGTGTAAAATGAGCTCTTTCTAATGGCTATACACATGTGTATGCAACATGTACATGTAGGCTATAGAACTTAAACAAATCTGTTGAAGGTGGGTGTCAGGGGTTGAAAAACTTTCTTAACTGCTTCAATTGTATTCATTCAGAGAACTTTGATATGAATGAGTCAAAAGGTTATGCAAGCATCTTATTGTCTAGATGTACCTCTACTCAACTACCATTGTAGTATTGAAGATACAGAGAACCAAAGTAATAAACTTTCATACCTTGTTGGTCAGGTGACAATACATCTGAAGTTTCAAGTAGTTTTTAATGATTTATTTTGAAATAAAGGACTTAAAACTTAGATAAAATCAAACTTCGAATCACAGAATACATTATATTAATTTCATTCACATCCACTGAGAGTAAAGGTGTTTAATTAAATTTTGAATGCAACACACTGACAATCCAGTGAAGTATTTAGAGAAAGTTATTGGATCTATTAATTTAATTAATCAATTAGCAAAGAATTTTGTAATTTTAATTGTAAGTTAGCTGTAGTACTATTAGTAAGAAATTTCTGCTTGAATTCTGAAATTTTGTTTGTGAACTTGGGCCTACAACTTTTACCAAAATGAATGAAGCCTGCAGAAACGTTTTTTTAAAGGAAATAAACTAATTCCTTATAGTTATGTGAACCGGACTTGGCATTATTTTTACCAATTAATCAAAAACAACTTGTGCAATGATAGAAAACATTATAACAAAATGTTATACAATATTGACTTATTACCATTTCAATTTCTGTGAGTGAATTTTTATTCTTACTATTATGTAGAATGTTCATGTAAATTTTATCAAATTATAAAATAGGCCATATTTTCTGTGCTGCATCCAAAAAGGACAGTGCTTTTTTATGAATTGTCAACTACTACAATATTTGATAAGCCTGCAAACAAGATTTATGAAAACAATGGTATAGATGAAAGTTTATGCAAACACTTGGATACAGAGTATAACTAGCCTTAACCCTTGGTCAAAAAATGCTAAGTAAGTATGTAGGAGCAAAATAAGTTAATCCCAATGCAGAAAGCACCGCTATTCTTGATAGTGCAAGAAATACACTAAATATTATGAAAACACTTTTGTATAAAAGTAAGCTAACTACAGAAATAAAAAATAAAAGCTTATATATTTATTAAGCTAATAAACTGACTAGAAATGATAATTTTCCTAAATCAATACATAAGAAAATAAAAACCTATAATGGTGACTACAAGGAACTGAATCATCAGTTGATTATCTCTGCTGTTAACCAAGTTTTGGTCATAATTCCTATAATATCTTAGGTTTAGTTATCTTAGGAGATATAAGTTAATACTAAATCCACATACTATGTTATCTATACAATGTAATTTTCATAACCATAAAAAAATAATAAATGTAAAGTGTAAAAAAATAATAGATATTATACAACTAATGGAGTAGGTTATTAGTTACCAAACACACAAAAACACTAAGTCTTTGTTCCTAAGATCCATGCAGTTTGCAAATACATGTAAACTGAATATATCTACAAACATTCACATATTTATGGCAGAGCACATCAAATATGAAAATTTGGTAAATGTGACAAAAGAAAAACCTAATAATAAATAAGTATACTCTAGCCACCTATCCAGAGAATTATACCAATCATCTATCACCAATTTTCTAGAAAACTTTTAACCAAAATTTACCTTGACAATGCAAGTAGTGCTAACAGAAATTTTATCACAGTCTTTCCACAAGTGGCAAGTTTGTCCCATCTGCAAGTTGTTTTTTCCAGTTTCATCAGCAAGAACAACCACAGGAACAATTATCACTTGGCCACTGAGAGCTCCAACCACTAAAAACCCTACAAAATATAATATATATAACTTCTAATAAATACATGTGGAAAAAGTTATTCAGTTGTCATATTAATACAGAAATGGTTTTCAAATAATGGTAAGCTACTCAGATCCTCAAATTAAACAAATTAAAAGGACTGATTCTAAAACCAGATTTTGTGCTTATGAGCAAGTAACTTAAACTGCTAGGTTAAAAGTAATGTACCACTGGTACAACAACATAAAACATATCAAATATTCATTATATTCAAACATACTTTAACATGTAATATAATCTCATTATAAAATCAACGTCATTGATGGTAACTCAAAATGTTAGTAAAATTTTCTTGGGTGTATAATTTTATTATTTTGCAAACAGATGATAAAAATCAACTGCTATTAATTTCTGCTGGCTTAGTTACAAGCACCATGTGTATTGAGATTTAAACTCCATGCATTGAAACACAATTTGTATTAACACTATGCTTTTTTCTTATTTTTTGCAACCTCTTTTAAGCAGCAATATTCAATTGGAAGAAAGTCTGGTCTTCAAACAAAGTTAGTGAATATTTATCAAATATGAGAGATTACACTACCTAAAGAGGGTGAAAATGAGATGCAACAGGATACAGCCATAAATAATATTTATACTTTTCTGGCCCATTAATAACAGATCTGCTTTCAGAAAGAAGTCAGAAACACATACAAATTATCAGTTACACTAAAAACATTTTCAAAAGTACATTTTTGCTGGTTTTTTAATAAAAATTCAAAAAAACATTATAAAAGGTTTATTTACAACAATTTTTGTAATGAAGATCTTCCCTTCAGGACAGAGCAGAAAATACATTTAATGATAGTCAGTATCTTTTTTCTAACTCCTTCCAAACTGGTAGCTTTTTATGCACGCCACGGAGGTTTTACTGAGTTACATTTAAAATGTAATTAAACTACTTAATTATCATGATATAGATATAAATTTGGCATCAAAACATAGCTAATAAATCAAATGTTAATATTATATAAGTTTTAAGTTCTTAATCTTATAAAAAAAATATTTAAAAAGAATTCTCAATCTCCCCCTAGTATGAAAATTGACATTTTCTCTCTAGGTCTTCCCTCTTCTCTAATTTATTTACCACCTCTCCAAGAAGTATGGAATTTAATGTAAATTACTCATTGTCATATAGTTATTACTCAGGTAAAGCATAATTTTTATAGCCTTCAATCTTATCTGGTTACAGAGCCTTAAACTAGAAAATCACACACCCCTCTTGCCAAGCTCATCTGTCACATCCTCTCTTTCAAAAATTGCCAATAGCTCTTTCTAATGTACAATATTATATTATTTATAACCAACAGAAAGCCAAAATTTTAATCTACCAAATGAGGTATCTTATTATGTTGTTTTCTGTACAGAGAATTGTCTATTTCGCTTTCAGTTTAAACTTTATTCCCATACAAAAAGACATTGATGAGCTTAGGTGAATTTTTAACGGCTCTTATTGCATAGTTAGAAAGCCAGAAAAATTATGATTGTTATAGGACATTGTCTGCTTTTCACGTGTTAGTATTCTGTGTTCTATGATGCATTGTTTAATTAATTAAAAAATTATTCAGTGCAGTAGTACCATTAGTATAAAAAAGTAGGATTAATTTTCGACATTCAAAACCAAAAAAAGAAGATCCAGGGTAAGTCCTATATTTCTTGTTTTTCCTTTATATATTCTTTACTTATTATTATAAAGGTAAATGAAATGTAAAAATTAGAAACTTATTATCTTATATTAGGTAAAATAAAAAATAATAAAATTTTTTCACAAGGCATGCTCACTAGTAGTCTGTGCATTACATAATTCACTAGAGTAACATAAGCTACACAATTGCTGAATGAGTTACAACAGGATTATTAGTTAGACACAGTTCAAAGGGCAATAAAAAAATAAAATTTAAGTAAAAACAGATGTATACTGTTACTAACTTTAATCTATTTAGAATAAACAAATGTAGCTTCCTGTTACAATTTGAAGTAATTCTAGAAAGAGAAAAAAAGGGTAATTCAGATTTATTTCATGCTTTTTTATGGTGATTACGAGGTCAGTGAAACTGACAAACCTTGTATAAAGTTAGGGTGGAGAAAATAACAGACAAAATACAAAGTTTACTGAAAAAAAGTTTGGAATTTATTTAGAAGGTTTTAGAGATTACATAAATGAAATTTGAGAATTTTCAGATGAAGAAAAGTATTTTTAATCTTAACATGAAAATTAGTTTGCATTTGGAGCAGTCAACATTTTGACTCCATATATTCAGAGAAATTTTAGTGAAAATACTTCATAAAAATTCTGATTTTTTGTCTACAAAAGATTTGTAATGCTTACTGACAGCTTGCAAAATTTCATGAAGTTACACAAAACATATTAGAAGTTATAGTATGAAAACTCCACAGGTCAATTTGGGGTCATGAATTCTGTCAATTTGACCAAGTCCATAGCGAGAAAGTTAAGTATGAAAGATGGTTATATAATAGTTTTTAGCTTGAAATGCAACTGTAGTTTATTTCTAATGCCAACAAAGATCTTTCTAAACAGATAAATATTAAGTTTTAAAGATTTATTTTTTTAATTTCGTAAACAGTTATAGAAGTCTCTCAGTTTTGGTTAAGGAAAGTGCTCAACAAGTCCTGCAGTTTAATATAAAATTAAGAGTAATGTATTCTAATTTTTTTGCATTATAGTACCAACTAATAAATTGATATTTATACATATTTTCAATCTTAGGCATAAATTTAACTTTCCAAACATTTTAAAGATTAAATGATTAAAGCCTAAAAACACAAAACCAAGTTAACTTCAAACTGCAATAGCAGTTCAGAAGCTTTTAATCTGTAGCATGAAAACTAAAGAAAGGAGAAATCTATATATCAATAGTATACAATCTCACCTGACTGAGCACCAGTCTGCTGCCAACACAAACTTGTCACAAGTCCTAGTGAACAATTCCATTTGTGTGCTAACTCAATATTTATCCTAGAATAAAAGAACAGACATTTAAATCAAACTAATAATGCAAGTATCCAATGATATTTCTTACTGTTTTTATGAAAAACACTCTTAAGTATATTATTGTCTTTGTTCAGCAGCAAAAATGCAACATCTCATTTAGATCATGCCTTTTATGAATGAAAGAATAACTTTCATATTATCACCATATCACAATGTTTCTAATGTTCTAGACAATGAAACAATGCACAAATACACAAATTAGATCTAAAGAAAAGTACACACAATTTGTAACATACAAGCCAAAAATATTAGAAGATACAAGTTTTCTCCCTAATGCTTTGCTGTACATTTTGTTATTATTAAACAAATTTGTACATTAAATAAGTCACAGTCAAAATCTGAAAAACATTTCTCCTGTGACTCTTAACAACACTTTCTAAATTATAAATTTCAATAGAGATTACAAAACAATAAAAGGATAAATTATGTAACTAGTAATAACAATGTACAACTTCAATACAAACCTACTTGTCATTATTTCTAGAAAATTCCCAAAAAACAATTGTTCCACTCCTCATTGCTACAATCAAATAGCAACATCTATTGGGATAACCTGGGTGGGAAGGTGACACAGCAAATTTTTCAGTCCAGGTTATTTCTGGAAGTAAAATTACAAGTGTTAAGGAATCAATATAAACACAAAACATGAAACAAGTGCACAACCCATCCTTCCCCACTGTCTTTCTGAAGCAATAAGAAAGTTGAAATTAAACAAAGATATTATAATTGCAATGTTGAACCAAATTATTATCTCAGACAAAAATTTTTTGAGAGAAAATTAGAAGAACATATTATAGATGGGCAGGTTTATGAAAACTTAAGCTCTAATCTTTACCATAGAAGGTGTCTGATTTTAACAAATCTCCAAGTACAATTCTTGCTGGTTACCCGTACCTTTTAAAGAAATTAAAACACGTGAATTCTTCCTTATGTTACATGCACAGTTAGTCTGGACCACAAGATAAACTGTCCCTTAGACCTATGATTTCTAATACTGGTCTTTCACATACCCATTAGCTAAATGGTTAGCTGAACATCTTTCTCCAGTTGTTGGGAAAATCTCACAATATTGATTCTTTGTTTACCAATGTGCCAGTTGATGAGACTGTTGTTTCTTAAGAGAGCATATCCTTGTGTGTTCCCATGGACACTTTTATCTCTCTCTAATCACAATCTGTCTTGGGTAAGTACTTTACACAAAAATATTGAATAGCCATGTGAAGTCCACTTTCTCCAATACTGTGCACATTTTCACAGAATATTTCAAAACTGAATTACTTCCTTCCATACATATATAAACCTTTCAGAAATTCCTTGGTACCAATATGCTGATGATATATTTTCTGTATGGTCAAGCCAAAGAAGGTATTTTGAAAACAACAAACTTCCTTTCTTGAGCATTTTGATGACAAGGGAAAACTTAAAACCCATCCTTTCTCTATACTGTAAACTGACAAATTCTTTAAGGTATGTTTACTTCTTTTCATAGCACCATAAACAGATCAAAACATCAATTATTTCTTCATTTTTTTCTCAGAGCCTGTAGAATAAACCACCCAACAGTTTTTGAATATGAAATTAAAAATATCTTTTCTATTTCAAAAGAACTCCATTTTCTGCAATGTTTCATTACAAATTGCCATTTCAGAGTAAGGAAAAACCTCTTTCCATGAGGACAGAGAAGGACCAACCAATTATAGTATGTACACTTTATAATGGCTACGACACTAGGAAATATCTATGATAAATAACTCTAGAATCACAGAAGAAGTGTTGACACTACAGTTTCTGAACGTAAAAAAGACATTAGGTATGGAAACACAGACAATGCCATTTTTCTTAATGTGATATTCTGGCCATTGGAAATCAATAAGAATTTTATTTAAAATAGATAACTACATAAAAAGAAGAATCGTTAGAAGTTGCTTAACTAAAAACCTGTTGAATTTAAACACCTTTTAAGATCACTTGAAGCTAAACAACTTCCTGACTTCCTATTTAAGTAAGGGAATTCAAAATTCCAGGGGCATGTAGACACTGTTGATCAGTTTTCCTGCCAGAAGGCAACGTGAGACTCAAGGACACACAAATGTATCACAACTAGTTTCTATAGTACCAGGACCTCTGACAGTTTATTCCATTTACTGTTTTTTTTTTGTTCTCTAAGTACTACACAGGATATTGTGTTATTTTAGGACAACACAAAAGTATTTCAAAATGTACCTCATAACATATTAAGATCTTCCAAATATTTCATCATAATTTATCCTCCATAAATTCATTAAAACTAAAGTAGGTACATCTTATATTTATTTTGTGCATGCATGTTTTTACAACATGAACTGACAGTGAAAATATTATTAATTATGATTGCTAAGTAAAAACACACTGAAACTTTCTTGTAGTTGAAACTTCTTGACAAACCACTTATCTTCCATTATTCAAACTACCACAATTTCTCCTAATGCCTTTGGGTCAGGCTTGTCCTGCTGATATATCTGCTAGCTAGATATGAAGCAGATTACAGAAGTCCATAATTTTTATCAAACTAGTTGTTTCTTTACTGAAAAGTTTAATATATTCTGACAACTGATGCTTTCATTAGCTAATGTAAAGCAAAAATCTGTTTAGCTTCATGTAATACATCAGTTAAGAACATGGACTCAACACGAATATATTCTGGGAGTGTTTCATCACAATCTGTTCTTGCATTACCTTCAAAAGCTTACATTTTTTTAAAAATACACAAATTAACTTGAACCAGTTCTTAGGTTTGAGGAAACTGTATTTATTGACACATCTCTCTTTGTCGGATGTAAAAATATTTTTATAAATTAGCAATAAAATCAGTACTCTTCATGATAGATATCAACATGTATCCTAGACTCAAGATTTTATATATATTTTGAATAAACCACCATTTACAGGAATTATTAAAGGCTAGCCTAAAACTGAACATGACAAGAAAGGTATTTAAAGAAAAATCACCATGGTAATCACAAGTAACATAATTGAATGTTGAGTCATTTAGGGAAAAACAAACACAACTGCAATCAGATACTTAATACATATCACACAAAACTTTGATCATTATTTGCTCAACATCAGGCTTCATATTTTCAATAAATGTGGATTCACAGTCATTAAATGAACAGATCCCTGTCAGTGTATCTTGATCAACTCCTGAAATAGCAGAACAACCTAAAATACTCATCAAACATTGAATTCAATGAATATAACATTATAACACCTCCACAGCTGAAAGGGCGAGCATGTTTAGTGGGATGGGGATTCAAACCCGCGAGTCGAGTGCCCTAACCACCTGGCCATGTCAGGCTTGACTGTTAAAGATTTTAAGATGTAAAATGTTTGTGTGTACCATGTTTCTGCACAATTTCATGAGATATGCAACTGCTTCACAAAATTCATTCAGATGGCCATTAACAGTTTTGCAGTGCAAGAAACAAAGCACCATTTGTAATGAACATTAGCAAAGGTTGAACCAACAGGAAAGCCCATATAACAATACCATCAACTTAGTCAATGAAGTTTTCATTTAAAACAAAATTATTTTTTACAGAGTGAGCAGTTCAAATTTAAGTTGCTCCTTCATTTACCATCTAATCTTCTTTGGATAATATGGTCTATTCAAGGGAGATATTGGTGAATCTAAGTTCCACCCAATTACTGTGCTGAATTCCTTTTCGTGCTCAATATTCTTGGAAAGCATTTCCTCTTTCCAGTGAATTATGAGGTGGTAAAGGTTTCCAAAAAACTAATGAAAGGCGACATTAAAAACGTATTTAAATTTCTAAATAAAGGAAAAGAGGTCTGAACATTGCTTTTTAAATAGTGGCAATTAAAGTTGTACTGCAATACCAGTAGTAATCAAAACTGCAAATCTACATTCCTAAGCACAAAAGTACACTCGTGTGGAAAATTGGCAACCAGAAAATTTTGCATGCTGAAAAGATATTGCAAAATGTTAGAGAAATTATATTTGAAAATTGAATTAAATGAATTGATGAAAAATACGTACATACTGTATTGGAATTAAATATGGAAATCCATAAGTTATAGACATACAGGAGTTACTAACAATGAGTATATGCAACTAATTGGTCTATTTATCATTAGTACATTATTACACAAAATATACAATAAAAATAAAGTTTATAGTGCACTAATATTTTGTATTTGATATAACCATAACAATACACCTGGTTTTTATGCTATTATAATTTTATCAATGCATGATTGTGAAATATTGTTTCAAATGTACTGTATTACTCCCCATAATTCATTTGAGTTTTTTGGTTGCCACTTGATCTCTGTTTTCATATAAGTCTATACACTTAACCCTTTTGTTATGGGTTGGTTAAAGTGTGCAAGTCGAAATCTTTTAACTGAGTTACATTCAAAATTTAATTAAATTACTTTATCAGCAATGTATAAAAATAAATTTGGCATCAAAACATCGTTAAGAAATCAAAACTTAATATCATACAAGTTTTATGTTCTTAATTTTCTAAGAAAATAAAAAAAACCCTCAATCTTCCCTAGTATGAAAATTGTGACATTTATTTTCTAAGTTTTCTCTCTTCTCTAATGTATTTACCACTCCTCTCTGAAGTACAGAATTTATTGTAAATTACTCATTATAATATAAGTATTCTAATGCAAGGTCTAAATTTTATAGCCTTCAATCTTGTTTAGAGCCATAAAACTGAAAATCAAAACCACTTGCTTCACCCACCTGTCACATCCTCTCTTTCACAAATTGCTAATAGTTCTCTGACATTTTATATTATTTACAACCAACAGAAAGACAAAGTTTTAACCTATTGAATGAGGTATAATGCTATGTTGTTTTCAGTACAGAGTACTGTTAACTTAGTATTCAGTTGGAAAGTTTATCTTGTGTTGTTCAGAATGAGCAGTAAAGGGAATTACTCTAAGCCCCTCTTGTCTAGTTAGAGCTAGTTAAATTACAATAATTATAGGATATTACTTTTTATTTGTTATTATCCTGTGTTCTTAGGTGCATTATGTAAGTAAATAAAGATTATTTAGTGTATTAATATCATCATTATAAAAAGTATACTTAAATTTCATCAGCATCCAACAGAAGAAGAAAAGAAAAAGAAAGAAATAAGATCAAAGGTAAGTACTATATTTTTGTTTTTCCTGTATATTCTCTATTTATGATTATAAAAGTAGCTAAAATGTAAAAATTAGAAACTTATTAGGTTGAATAAGGTTACATTAGGTAAGATAACGATAAAAATTCTTCAGAACATAAGCTCATGAGCAGCTCGTGCATTACATCATTCAATATGGTAACATGAGTGATGCATTTGCCAAGTGATTTATAACTTGTGTGATAGGATTATTAGTTAGAAACAGTTCAAAGGGTAATAAAACAATAAAGTTAACTATGAACAGATGTAGACTGTTACAAATCTTAAGCTATTTAGGATAAACAATTGTAGTTTTCTGTTACAATCTGCAGCCATTTTAGAAAGAAAAAAGGGTTATTTAGATTTCATATTTTTTTTATGGTAGTTACAAGGTTGATCAAATTGACAGACCATATAAAGTTAGAGTAAGGAAATAACAGATAAAATCTAATGTTTTAATGAAAAAAAACTTTTGATATTTATTTAGGAGGTTATAGAGGTTACACAGGCAAATCTTTAGTAAAAATACTTAATTAAAAAATCCTATTTACTGAGTACAAAAGCCTTGTAATGTTCACTGCAGGCTCGATAAATTTTGTGAATATACACAAAACACATTAAAAGTCATAGTATGGAAACTAATGGATACTTTGTGGTTACAAGGCTGCTCCGATCAGCTGACCCTGTGTGGAAAGAGTAAATAATATTAGGACTTTGTGGAAGTCAAGCCATAATTGTGAACATACCATCATCGTTTTGTTCCAGGAATTGTTTCACCACATTTGTTGCATACTTTAGATCACTGTCTTCCTTAATGGTACTAGCAGAAGCACACTCTATGGGCAACTATTTGTGCTAATAATTACTAATCATAGTATTTATACCTCATTTAAAGAAATTTAGAAGTGAACATTTTCTAAAAAAGGATTTTTTGTGGGTAGTACTGCACGGGAAAAGTGTTAGGATTGTGCTGTTATAAACTGTAATGTTTTCATATATTAAAAGTGGTACCCTTTATTGAAAAAAAAAAGTTTTTTAAGAACTCCATTATTTAGTCCTATATTTACAAAATTACATCAATAAAGGTATAACCAAACCCTCACATACAGTTCTAGTGAAGCCATGTTCTTGTTGTGAAGAGAGTACTTTTATTTAAAATTGTTCTGTGATACAGAAATGGTTGCTGCATATACCACAGTTATTTTTCTAATTGTCTGAATCTTGAATACCCAAAGTGTGACAACTTGTGGGTTTTTTTTGTGGTACCATTTAACTGATGGAACCATACTGTATTTATTATTTTGGCTATATACATATATAGATACCTATATACACGCTACATCCATTATCATAAGATGATGGGTAAAAACCTCCACTTGTATCTTTCAGTAGTGAGGGTGTCATAAATTTTGTGTAGGTATCCAACACCACTGGTTGAAATACAGCTCACACTTGTATCAGTTCCTCAGCATTCTAACACTGTAGATTTTGTATTTCACTGCTATTGAAAAGCAAAAGAATTTGAATTTTAGGTCATCTGTGAAAAGCAGTTTCCTTTAGCTATGATCCCAAAGTTTAAAGTCTTATACCAATTTCAGGATATCTCTCCTAGACTGTGTTTTTGAGTAGTAACTCATCAGATGAAGCCACTTCCTGCTAATGTGTACCTTACTTTCTGGAGGTAATATTCATACCTGTACCAACAATTACTGTATTTTTACAAGAATTTTTTCATGGTTTGCCCGAGCCTCACTCATACACTACATCAACTTATCTAGGCATTAGTCATCAAAATTTCTCAATGTTTCATAAAATAAATACATGTTCTTTTAGCTGTGAAGTTCATCATGTGATCTGCTCAATGAAGCATGCTTAATTAATCAACCAAGACAAGCCCACGCCCTCTTGACCATTTCCAATCCTTGTTACCAGTATAAATTCTTAAAAAACAAAAAAAACCTACCTCATCTCACAATGCCTCCCATTAAATCACATAAATCCTACACAGCAGCATTCAAGCTGGAAATCATAAATCTGCAGAAGGAAATGGTAGGAATATGGCTCCTCACGTAAGTATAGTGTCAATAAAAAATGTGTCCGAGACTGATGCAAGTTAAAAGAGGATCTATGCATGATGAAAAAACTAAAAAGGCAAATTGTGGGTGCAAGGCTAGATGAACAAATTAGAAGGACATGTCTTAGCTTAGGAGTTTACACCTTTAAAGGTGATTCATCGTGATGTTTTCGATTCATGTACAGGAAAAAACAGTGTAACAGGCAGCACATGACAATGTCTTAGAAACTGCCTGAAGACTTCACATATAAGTTGGGCAACTTTCATTCATTTGTGCATCTGAAGAAAGAGGACAATAATACAGAAACATCTAACATAATCAACATGGACAAAGTGCCATTAACATTTGCCATTCCAATGAACAGATCTATAGAAAGTAAAGGAAAAGACACCATGACCATTAAACAAACAGGGCACGAAAATCTAGTTTCACAGTGGTGTTGACATGTGATGCTGATGGTGGGAAGTTACTCTCCATGGTAATAGTTAAGTGAAAAACAATGCCAAAGGAGAAATTTTCAAGTGGTGTTGTGGTAGAGATGAATCCAAAGAGTTGGATGGATAATAACATGATGAGACAGTGGTTGGATAAGTGCTACTCATGTCGGCCAGGTGGATTGTTTTTCAGACTAAGAAATCCATGCTAATAATGGCCTCTATGTGCACGCACATCAGTGACGAGACAAAAGGTAGAGTGGATGAAAAGAAGACTGTTTTAGGCATAATCCCTGGAGGTATGACAAAGTTGTTAAAGCTGTTAGATATTTCTGTTAATTGATGTTTCAAGACTGAACTAAGGAAGACATGGGAATTTTGGATGTCTACTGGCAAACACAGTTTCACCAACATGGGATGTTTTGATCGTGCTTCCTATGCTGAGCTTTCACAGTGGGTTAAGAATATGTGTGACAGTGAGCTCCAAGCAGTAATTGTGAATGGATTCATAAAGGCTGGAATTATTAGCCAATATGAGGACCATGAGGAAGACTACAAGATGGATGACAAGGAGAACATCACACCTGACATGTCTCCCAACTTGGTGGCTATCTTCCACTCAGATCAAGAAGATGAGGAATTTGATGGTTTCTCTGATGCTGAGTAACTATCTGTGGTGATCAAATGTGTACTGGATAATAAAATTCATACTTGAATGGTCTAATTATTTTAACTCATTATAGTTTTATTTCATATTATCTATTTTTTTGGTTAACTTTTGCTGTTTTCCAATTTCTGCACATTTTCCACCATATTTCTTTTGTTGGCATATAGTATACAATGCAGTGCTACCGTACTTGATCTATCCTTGTCTTATACTCCACTTCGACTTTTAAATGAATGAAGGTTAAAAAAATGAGAAAATTAACCCATTGGACTTGTACTTCAAAAAATACAGTAAGTCATTAAAGAGATCTGTATTAGATTGCACACATCAAGGAGCATATCCTGAAATACTTAACATCACTTTTGTAGAGTTTAGACTTTCTGCCTTGACTACTACTTCTATCAACAGTATTAATTTCACATACCCTCTCTAGTTTTACTGAAAGTGAAATGTTGCTTCAGTCTGTCATTTTTTTGTTATATTTAACAACTTTACACATGAAGAAGAGATACTGAATATAGCTTAATACCTGGACATCACCAAACAAGAGTCATCATAAAAATGCAACAACCGATGAGCATAAAGAAGCAATCATGTAGAGCTTGTACTTCATAGGTAGCACGTAGTTGTGAAATGTATCTATATAACAACAGTTACATAAGTGAATGCTTGACAAACAGAAAAAACTGAATACCAATAACATTATTCAGTATTAAAACATTAGTTCTAGTATATAGTGTGTTTTGTTATGAGGCTTGAACACTACAAAGACACTAAAAGTTCTAGATTAAGCTACATTCTTCTACGAACTAAACAGTTTTGCCAAAATAAGTTTATTTTATGTATAAAATAACTGTTATTAGGATACAAAATAAAGTGACAATTTTTTTTCTTTGAATACGACTCCGCTTTTCCCTGCAAAATAGCTATTTCAAGTAAAAACCACACTGAAGTAATAAAATTAAAATAACACTCTTAAATAATACACAATTAATATGAGGATTTTTCATGGTATACTGAAAGTGCTATGTTTTAGTTTCTTGGTAGATAAGTCCAGAAAAAAGAAAACAACTGATTTGGGCTTAACACCCTGATGATTATATTCTACAATACAATAACACTAAATTACATACAATTTAAACACAGTTAAACATTTACAAACCCATAGCTGCAAGACTGTAAGTACGGTCCTTTAAGATGCGGAAAGCATCTAGTCCCTTATTTCCAGGACTTTCTTTCCACAGTTTCCTATCATGTTCATAAAGCTTCAGTGATAAATCGTCTACCTCTTGAAACTTTTTTTTACAGAACTGGTGTACCTGTAGTCGATGATCTGCAGTTAAGGTAGCTAAAAGACACCTATACATAACAGAGGTATTTGTTTTATAATTTACATAAACATGAGGATATTTATCTGTATCTAGTTTCTATTCAAAAAATAAGTGATTTCTGTTACATTTAGGATAACAAAACAGTTGTTTTTATAAGAATTATTACGTACCTAAGATTAGTTGAAAAGATTTCTCAGTTGAACTTAACAGTTTTGATCTACAATCTATGAAAACCAAAAAAGTGCAGAAACATGGTTACCAAAACCTTAGCTGGAAAGCCTCAAACACATTTTTCTAATCAGTTTGAAAGTAGGTTTATATACAGATATTACATCAAACAAGCTTCCCCCATCTACAAGGATATAACTCTATTTCAACTGCATGACAGTCTTTACTGATAAATCTAAAAGGGGTGATGAGAGCTGAAACAGCTCAAAACTTTACTTTAGCTGATCATGGTATATATATATTTTTTAAATAATGTGAGTTTTACACACTTCATACTATGCTAACACATTAATTATAACCATGACAAAAAATTTTCTAACTGCACCATTAATTTATTTTTAATTGATTATTTAAATGAAAATTAGTAAATTCTTAATATCGGAACTGCAGTCCACAAAAGCTGTATCTGAATGACTATTTTTCTTTCCCCTAAAATGTATCATATGTTCAAAATTAAATGAACATATGAAACTAATATTCAGTAAATGGAACTTGGTAAAAATAAATGAACTCACGAGTCTAATGGTGCAAGGTCGACAGGTGACCATCTGGATAGTCTGTAAGCAAGAAAACGTGTTGCGTTGGCTGTTTGTGGACTTACAGTGTGATCCAGCATAACAGTATTAAGCTCATCTGTTTTGGATAGATAGCTTGGATTACAATTCCTTGATAAAGGCACCATAGACTGATCTAATTTTATCTAATTGTTCATCACTTTTAAACACAACAGCTTAAAACATGAAACCCTTAACTCCTAATAAATCGATAAACATACACAGACTTATGGAGAAAAAGTACACATGGAAAAAAACTCATTTAACTTAGCAGTGCTATTTTTAATTATCCATCTTGTTCACAAGGTTGGTCCATTGAAACTAACCTGTAATTCTGAATTTTCTGTGTTTATCTACACAAAATATGGCAAGCTTTTAGTAAAATGTAATAGTTTGTTGTACACAAAACAACCAGGAGTTAGAAAAGTATTTGCACTCAAGATACATCTGTGAATTTTTGCCTCATACTCTGACAAGTCATAGTGCAAGATAATTGTCATGTGAAGGATAAAATGGTTTTATCCATCACACAGTTTCCAAATTATATTTGAATAACGTCTAGAACCTCCAAAATGCATATCTACAGTTTTTTTTTCAGTATCCCCCTATCTGTACCTGATATTTACTCACTTCTACAAGAAAATCTTGCTAAATCAGCAGCTTAGGGTAAAATGAACAGAAAACTCTGACATAAAATACATAATACCTTTTAATACTAGTAATAAATTACCTCATAACACCAAATTTGTTATTATTCTTTAATGGATCACTAAGTGTTTCCTTTTACAGCTTTTTTCAGAAGTGTTCCACTTACACACAAACTGTATCTGACAGTACAAAACTTCAAATGGTTTAAATAATAAATTATAATATTGATAAATTTTTAATATAAACATGACCACTGAAAAGCTGTCCACTTTTGTTGACCAACACATAAAATGTATTCCCTGTACACTCCCCTTGTACATAAAGGATACTACTCACTTTCTTAATAACCTCATAGAAGATATTAATACTGACAGTTATGCCACCCAACAGCCTTCTTTGCATGATGAATGTTTCTTCCCTTTACACCAATATTCCATATGATGAAGGACTACAAACTCTAAAGACTGCATTAAACTTTTATAACCAATCAGAATCTCAAACAGTAACTGATCTTGCCAGCCTAGTTTTAACTCTGAACAACTTCAAATTCAATAACAAGTATTACATTCAGGTTAATGGCACTGCAATGGATACCAAAATGGCTCCCAATTATGCCAACATTTTTATGAATCATATTGAAAACCAGCTTTTACAACTAACCCCTGTTAAACCTCATACATGGAAACGTTACATAGACGACATATTTTTCATTTGGACAGCCAGTCTTAAATCACTTAAAGAATTTATCTCACATGCAAACTCTTTTCACAAAACAATCAAGTTTACCTGTGATTTCTTGCCTACCCAGATTAACTTTCTTGATGTCACCATTTTCTAAAAGATGGAATTTTACAAACTAACTTGTACAAAAACCTTCAGACAGACCACAATACCTTCACTATAAAAGCTGTTGCCCCTCTCACAATAAATGAAACATTACCTACAGTCAAGCTCTTAGAATAAAGAAAATATACTCAGATGAAATAAATTACAGAAAACACAGCAAGGATCTAAAACAAACCATGTTACAAAGAGGATATAAAGATACCAAAATCAACAAACAAACTGAAAAGGCTAACAATACTCAGCAGAAAAACATCCTATATCAGAGCAATATTAAATTTTCAAATAGAATTCCTCTTACTATTACCTATCAGTTTAAACTCAGAAACATCTCACGAATTCTGAAAGAACATTTTAATCTCCTACAGTTAAACAATTGTCTTAAACAGATATTTCCTCAAGTTCTCATTGTCTCCTTCCGAAAAAGCAGAATTCTAAAATATATCCTTGTTCACACAAAAGTGAATTACATCCCATTTTATTCTATTTCTCTATGTACTGTTGTAAACATCTCATTTCCAGTACAATGTAGCTGATGGCAAGAGTGTATGTGAAAAGGTGTTAGGGATATTTTACTTGAGCAACAGGGAGATCTTTTTTGGTGTTAATAGAAGATTTATGGTTGTTGAAACGTTTTCTAAGAGTTGTTTGTGTATGTCCTACATATTGGTGATTGCATTTTTTACAATGTACAAGGTAAATGGTGTTTTTGTTTCACAAGTGATTTCTTTGGATATTTTAAAGTTTCTTTGATTGTGCTTGTCAGAAAATGAGTCAGTGGTTTTTATGAACTTGCAGGTTTGACAACGGGCTTTATTGCATGGATGAAAACCATTTTTGGGATTTCCTGGAAAACTGGTTGACCTCCATGATGTCACTAAACTCCCTTTATATATATATCACTCATTCAATTACACCACCATTCCTAGTTTGCCCCTGAAGAAGTAAAGTCCACTTTTCGAAAGGGCTCGGGTTATAGGGTTTTATTCATTTCTAAGTAGTAAAGTTTATTATTGAAATAACAAACTGCTAGCTGTAGTAAACAAAAGTTACAGTCTTTAGTAAATGTATAATGTTAATGCCAGAGATGAGTTCCACTTAGAGATTAAGATGTTTGAGGAAGCAATAAATATATTCATTAAAGACAGTTTAAACCAAATTTGAATAGTAGTAAGGGAGCTTGAGAAATTGAGAAGAAATAAGTGCATAGGATGACAAGGAAGTTGGAGAAAGGAGATTCAGAATAGAACAAGATAAATAAAAGTTTTAAAGATATGCCTGCCAGATTTAAAGATAAACACAGGAGGATCAAGAATAAACTTAACTGTTATTATTCTAATGTTATTAGTAATAGGAATACAACAGAAGAGATCAGAGCTCTAGTTGAAATGAAAGACTATGTTGTGATACGAAATACTGAAATTTGGTTAAATTAAGAGAATAGTGACAACAGAAATTATTTTCAAATTCCAGGTTGTAGGTTATTTAATAGTGAAAGTTTTTTAAGAGTGGATGAAGTCACCCTTTATATAAGGGATGAACTGCAACCTGTTAGAATTGAAGAATTTTCACTTACTTTTTAAAACAATGATTCAACTAAATAAATTCCATGTACTGACTTTTTATTGAAGTCAATACATTTTTGTTTTGTATTTGGTTATATGTAGCAATTAAAGAAAATTTAAAAGATTAAAAAATTCATTACCCAATCCACTTTCTAATATTTTTCTTTCCTTTAACATACAGTGATCTCCAGTTATAACACGGGATTTTGGGTAAGGTATGGTGACTCATGGTATAACTTAGGAAATGGTTGTATTACCCAATACAGTAATGTACATATTAAAGAATGCTGATGGCAAGGTTATTGTCGAAGATAAGATGAGTGAGCTTTTAAAATTGCTCTTCTGCCTTTACAAGAGAAGATATTAAAAATATTCCTGACCAATAAGCATTCTATGTGTTTTAAAGGAAGTCAAAAATTAGATATGTGAGAACTTCACTTATTTCTAACAGGCCAACAAAGATTGGGCAGGTGCCTATAGATTGGAATTGCTTATGTTATTCTTAAGTTAGTCTTACTTCTGCTGTGGGAAAAATTATAGTATGATAAAATAAGCATTACAAAATCCTTTGGTGAAATATGATATCACAAATGAAAGCCAATATGATTCATTACAGGAAAATCTTGTCTTACTAGCCTATTCTATTTTTTTGAGGATGTTACTTAAGTTTTAAAAAAAACCTTCTGATAAGGTGCTACACAACAAAAAATAACAATGGTAGGAGTTGGGGAAAAACTAGTTAATTGTACTGTAAAGTGGTTAGATGTAAGAAAGCAAAAGGTTGTAATAAATGTAGTCTAGTCAAACTGGACATTTGTTACTATTGGAGTACCTCACGGGTCAGTGCTTAGGTCTTTGCTCTTTCTTATTTATATCTAACTAGGCTTATGCCACAGAAACAAACATTTAAGTAAAATGTCCTATAATTATCACCTTTATATTACACGAATAAGCTTTAAATAATATAGGTAATTTATCAAAATATATAAATCTGACATTTGAAGATCAACAACAAGTTCGTAATTAGTGCAGGACAGATGTCAGTTAGCTTTCATTTCAACCTCTCAACATGTGAATTATCGTGCACATACAACAAGTTTTGTGATCTAGACTTTTCATCTTTTCTTTCCTGGACATTTCATCACAATTTCAGTTGGAGACCCAAGGCCTAGAAAGTGTTTAAATATTCTATGTAATATGAAATACTTTTAACACTATGAAATAAGCATCTCTCATAATATTGGTAATGAATTGCTGTTTTATATATATATATCCTGATATCAAACATAAGTCAAGTTAGACTTCCTGGACATCAGGTGTCTAGCACAACTTTTCAATACGTTTTGGACAGGATCTTCAAATCATGAATTCCCAAACCAACCCTCTGATTTAGAGTATGTTTAACATGTTGAGTCAATATGATGCAGTAAATTTATTCAGTAACTAGTGAAAGTACCTGGCTTTGCTCGGATTATTAGGTTGATATATTCTAGATGACTATGTCAGTGTGTGTGTATTCTGAACCTATTTTAGCATAGAAGAACAGTCAAACATATTTTAAGCATATTTTTTATTTTCCAGAAATATAAAAAAAGGTGTAAAGGTACAATAATAATAAAATTATTATTGATAAACATAGATGCCACTACACATCACATTATCTAACCTATATAATAGCCAGTGTGTGTTGCATCATATCCCGTTTCATTTCTCAAAATAAGAGGAGTCATAAAAGCCAAAATGCATTTATTAGATAGAATAGCTTGTTTAATGTCTGCACATTATGATTTCAGTGACAGAGGTGCAAGAGAGCCATGAAACCTTGCAAGTGTAGTGAATGTTGGTATGAACTTAAGAAATTAATAAATAAGCCTAAAGTAAAAACAGAGTGTGAGATAACATAGCCTAGAGCCAAGTGCATAAAATGTATCATGAAAGTAAAAATATTAATCCAGTTTTAAACTTAATAAAAACATATATTAAAAAACAAACCTCTTTAATCAACAGGGACTCTAATTTAAGGGAAAAAAAAGTCATTGTTGGAACGCACTGTTACTAAAACCCAGTGGCTTTTCTATATATCAGAAGTTATTATATAAGGAACCACTTCTTTTCTATGTGGTTTTTCACTAGCTTGCCTCATTAAAAAGTTGCACATGCACATGGATAAGTAATAATACCCAGATGCACACTCTCAGGGTCCACTTAGTATGGGTGCAAAATTTCAGGTTTATAGGTTCCTACCTCTTGGAGCTATGGCAGTAACACACACACACACACACACCCTTCTTTTATTATAGATGATACTGATAGGGATATAATTAGTAACTAGGTAATGTTTGCTGATGACATTAAACTAGTTGTATTGAGGATGTTGATGTCCTACAAAATGACTTGAATCAATTGATACATTGGACAAATATAACATTTAATTGTAAGAAGTGCAAAGTAATGCATTTGGTTTATCATAACTTGGATCACTCATTAAACTCTTTGACTACCACACATTCTTTTACCTTTCTGTGCATGTCACGAGGTTTTACTGAGTTACATTCAAAATTTCATTAAACCACTTTGCTATCATTGTATTTTATTGAAATTAGCATTATAATGTATGATATAATTCAAAGTTTTATATTATATAAGTTTAATTCCTTTATTTCAAAAAAGCATTCAAGAATCTTAACATTTTGTCTCTATAACTTGAATAATAGTACATGTAACAGTGTACAGGTATGTCTAGACTGAATTCTACTCCTACAGCCCTTTTACCCATCATTTCAAGCTCATTCGAGTCAATTCAGAACACCAGAATATATACCTTCTCACCCCCCTGACAGTAGCCATGTCCATCTTCTCTATAGAGACGTCAGATAACAAACTACATGTCTATAACCAATAGAGAGAGCTAATTTTAAACTACAGTTTCTCAATGGTTATTCTAAAAATGGTGCAGAAATATGTCAAACTGCTCTTAGCATTTTATAGTTTGGCCCTCACTAGCACTTAGCTTTGTTCCTCACCTCAATACATATTAGTTTGATAAGAGTTAAATTGTATTTATATATATTATTTTTATATTTTTAGTTAGTTATGTATTAATGTTTTAAAATGCATATTTGAAAGCTTTAATAATTTTTTAAATATAACCCAAACTTCACCTCAGTTCACAAGACTGAACTCACTATGCGAGTGCAAAAACATTTTGCCAAAAGCTTGAGTGTCTCTACCAAAGATACTGTAATATGCCCCAAGGGTGCTCATTGACATGTGTTGAGATGAATAATAAAGCATAAAGGACAGAAAAGGAAAACAAAATATTAAAAATAGACTATAACTAAAAAGGTAAAGAGGTGAAATTATGAATAACTCTAAAGAAGATATTTTAAGATTATTTAACAAAGAGTTAAGAGGAATGTACACATTCTCATTTCTTATTTTTAAATATTTCATTGTATGTTGATTGATGATAATAGCTACAGTTAGTGATATAGTAGAGATAATGAAAAAGAAAATATAAAAATTTACCTTAAAAATGCTTCAAGTTCATTTAGGAGGTTCTAGAGGTTATGCAAATGAAATTTGAAAACTACAAGTCACTCAAACATTGAAGCAGTGCTCTGTTGCTAGTAACAAAGCTAATAAAATTTTAGTGTATTTATAGAAATATTAATTCCAAGTTAAAAGATCTAATTATCCCTCAACACAAATCAATAGTTAAGCCTCTTTCCAAATATATTGTACACTTTTGGTTTCTTATCTAAGAAAGGATATTTATCTATAGGAAAGGGTTCTACTCTGATGATTCCGGGAATGGAAGGGTTATCTTAAGCAATAGGTTAAGATCTTTTATTTTCTCTTGAGAAAAGAAAGGCAAGAGGTAATCTTATTGAAAGTTAAGAAATTATCTGGGGAATTGATAAGATAAAGGCTTCTGATTTCTTTGTGCAAAGTTCTGAAGATAAACAGGATGAGAGGACACAAGTCTGAAATTTGGAAAAGATAAGCTATGCTCCAGTTAAGAGAGTTTTATTTTTCTAATACAGTGGTTGACTTGCAGAACGAGTTGTTGTTGTTGGCAGTAGTGAAGGCCAGCATCTTACAAGAGTTCAAGAGGGGAACTGAAGGCTTCATCAAAGAAAAAGGTTGATTTAAATTTTTACTTTTCCCAAGGGTGGGTATGCAAGGGCAGCCTTTAAACACCAAATTGTCTCTTGTTGTCCATAGTTGATGTTATATTAAAAATAAAATCCTTTGGTGACAATGTAACTGTCAAGCTTGTTTTTTTTTTTTTAATTTTCTCAGCTTAACCAGTGAAATTGTTTCATATGTACTGTTGGAGCATTAAAAAAGTACTATATAAACATATAACAAACACTGTACAATCCAATTTTTAGATAATTGTATGTTAGCAACTGATTACATTAAGACAGAAAAGTTCCTACAGATATCTCAAGGATTCCAATAAACTGATGATAGTAGATGAACATGAAAAAAATAACACACTTTTGGAATAAAACAGTTGAAATTAGTTTCCTAGTCTTTGTGCTAATATTTTGTTTCAAACCTGGGATTTATTTTTTTACATTCAAATAGTTGATATACATGGTACTTTATATATGACAACACTATGATTATAAGATCTAAAGGTTTCCAAAATGTAGACCTGTTTTGTTTGAGGTGAATTAGCTACCTTTGAAACCATAATTTTAAGTATTGTGAACCAATTACAATTTAATATTCTTTAAATAGTACTACTGATTTATAAAATTTCATGTTCTTCCTTAATTATTTGAATTTTAAAGCTTTAACATGTCAGAGGTATTAATGCTCCACTTTCAATTAATATAAGTTTTTGCACATGAAACTATTTATAACAAGCAATACTATACACACGCTAAAGATTTGTATACAATGTAGTCGTATATTTTCAGAGCACTGACATAAATACAGTGTCATTGAACAGGATGAAAAGTTATAACAGTTACTGTGATCCTAAATCATATACACTTGTTTTCAATCAGCATGATAAAACTAAAACATAAAATCTTTGCTATCTTTGACCAAAACTCTGAGAATATCAATTTAATGGTATCAAGATAACTACAAGCTAATGAAAATGAAGACAAAAGTCATGCATAATAGCAAAATAGTTAACTTTGGTAGTTTCAGATAAAGACGATAAATATTTCTAAATGTGCAAATAAATGTAGTTCTTCATGATTTCTAACTATTAAAATCACATATTACTGAACTTCCAGGTTAGCATGAAATACATACCTGTAGTCAAGTTAACAGGGAAAAACTTTCTCTCAATACCAGTATCAAAGCTTAAAGTTTCTTTTGGAGGGGGAATGAAATATTTATGCTCGGGAAGAGTGGATCCAGGTTCCAGAGGACTACAGTAAGATACCTAAAAACAAATGTCCATGCATATTACACTGATATATAATTTTTAAAATTATGTCTGTGTTTTCAAGTGATCCACTAAACTTCTTAAGCATATAGAATGAAAATACTGGACTTCAGAAAAAACTTCACACATAACTTTCAGAGTTGATAGATTTGTAAGAACTGAGATATTCCTAAGACTCACTGAAATTTTTCTCCAAAATAATTAAAAAACAAAATGATAAAATTTACTGGATTTTATTTATATAAATCAGTTACTAGTTCATTTTAGTTCTGTTGAAATTTATTTTAATAAACAAAAAAGCTAGTTATGTTCTAAAAATACATTTGTTTTTAGCATATAATAAATTAGAGATGCCTTCTTATATTATGCTATAAAATGTATCAAACAAACTGGCAGTTTAGTAGCCAAAAAACAACAACAACAAAACAAAAACAAACCTACTATAGTCCTTTCTGTTTACACGGTTTGCTCATTATCCATGAAATACACATGCTTATTACTCTTCTCAAGAATTAAAAATGGTAAATGTTTTACTTTATTCTCAACATTATGTACCTCTAGAACAGGCCTGAAAACATTTATTCACCAGCTTTGTCTACTTTTGATTCTAGAACCTCATGAAGTTTTCCTGAAAATTTCAAAATCTTTAGTAACTCCAATCTTTGTCCAGTGATTAAAAAAAAAACTGATGCAATTATTCTTTTTCTTATTGGTATGAATGTGAAAAGGAAAGTTCATTGTGCACGTTTTTTGCAGTCTGATTGCAAAAAATATAAAATCTACTTTAAAATGGTTTTCAAAATATCCTGCATTTCATTATTATTCACTGTTTAACAGAAGCAGCTTCAAAAAGTGAGCACACCAAAGGCAGCAGAATGCTGAACTTAAGTTTTAACACTTCGTGGTAGCATTACTTCAACAGAAAAAACTCAGTCACATGCAATGTACCTATTTAAAGTTTTAATTGTGGAAACATTAATAATATTACTATTAATTACTACCAAGTAGTAGTAGGCCTACACATTTACGTATATACTATATATTAAAATTTGGACAACGAACATCCGCACTTTTGTAAATGTAATTGGTTATACACTAATATTAATAATACATTATATCTGTTCTGTTTTTAATAACTATATTACTAAAGTATTAGTACTATTAATATTATTATTTCATGTTCATTTCAATAATAACTAAGTTTAGCTTAAGCCTAGCATCAAACTAAAAGGCATTCTTTGCAAGTTTATTTCAGTTGGGAAAACACTGTTAATTTTTAATATACATATTATTACCAGTATATGAATTCCTTTGTCTGTACAAAATGCTAACTTATTATCAGAAGACCAATCTACAGCACTATTATTGTTAATAGAACCCGCAAAAGACGACGAATGAATAACTTCAAACATCTCAGACATTATAAAATTCACTCAATTCTCGCGCTGTATAATTAGCAAGGATAAGTGTTAGAGGACGCTTATCTTCCGCAAAAGCCACAGAGCCGGAGAAAAAGCAAAGTTGCTTAGTTTTTTAAAAATAAAACGTATGTACACAGCGTGGTCACAAGTAAATAGACACCACCTTTTCAGAAAAAATTAAATTTTTCAGTCATATTCACATGAATTGATACATTTATAATTTAATTAATATCTAGTATATCTTCCTTTCGCTTCGTGAAGTTCGTTGATCATTTGGGGCATCGTGAGAATCATCTCGTCAATTTGAGATTGTAGGATTTTCGCCCAATCTTGCTTCAAAACTTGGAGTAGATCGCTCTTCGAAGTTGGTTTTTTGGTGTTTCTTGACTTG